GTGTATCAAGTCCACGGTCAGATGCTAGGAATCAAGACAACTACTATGGCAGACGACTTCGGACTCGGTAGAAATTATATTGTTTGAATTCATTATTTGCGTCAGATGCTAATCAAAACTAACGATATACAAGTAGTATCAAGAATAAACGAGAGTCAATCGTTTGGTATGTGGAAAAATTGAATGCTCATCTGCCCAGATTGCAAGAATGAAAAACGCATTTTATCAATAGCCCTTCAATTATTATCGATGAAAAATTTAAATGTGAATGGAACATAAAATAAACATGTTAATTATACTAAATCAGACTAGCTACCTAGTGGAAGCGGGTCCACATACTCTAGCTGAAGATACATTCAAAGAAACCGCAAAGCTTATTCTTCGTAGGACCATTTGAGAAGTGGTATTCATCAAATTACATAGGTCACAGTTATGAGCATGGAATACGCATAAAATAACATAAGTTTGTTCAAGAAGCAATACATCAATATTCTCCATTTAACATAATAAATATTTCTCAAAAATGTGAGTTAAAATGTGGTCGCAGTCTCCTTTATCTATAAATTCTTGGTTTGACCCAGTTTTCGCAACTTGGTCGGGGCAACATGGAGACCTTGAGAAACGTGTCTAGCCTTGAGTCTTCTGTCATAGTATTCATGATAGCTTCCAGCATTGGACCGTTAATTTTTAATATTCCGAGACATTTGGTCGGCATTCTTAGAAGCGCCATCCTTAAAACAATTTATAACACGTAAAAATGGTAAATGAACAGTGATATGAAAATAGGTCAGGAAGATGGCGTTCATGTGTCACTTTGATTAAATGTAACTCATTGATAAGGATGGTGTCTACCCGACCATGCCAGCGAAACGTCTAGGAATGTAAAAAATCTAATGCCAGATTTCGCGAATTATCATGACTACTATGTCAAAGGACGCAGAACTAGGTACATTCCAACTAAGTTGCAAAAACAAGGCCAAACCAACATTAATATTTCTTAACCCTCCGTCTCACCACTCATAACGTTGCTATATTTAAACAAAATTCTTTCATTAGAAGCTAAATTAGAGTAATGATAAGAAGCTTATGAAAAGCAATAAAATGCACCATATTTTCAATATTTTGCTCGTCAAGCATTTAATTTGAAGGAGCTATAATAGATCAATTTCTAGATATAAAATATGAGGATGGTAATATAAGCGCATATAATTCTGTAGTGAAATGTAGTCAAAGGAAATTGAAACTAGAATGATTAATGGCATGCTTTGTAATAGTAACATGTGGCCAAAAATAAGAAATTAATGAGGGTCAAAAAGAGACCCTAAATGTATGGACTTTTAGAGGAACAATCACAGGAAACGAATAAAATAATAAATCCGAACTAAAATACATACAAGATATAAAAAATATGCAGTAATAATGAGTAAAGCTAAGTTATGCATTTTAATGTGGCTGAAAAAATAATATAAAGTAATGAAAGAGCTAACCAAAATGTCCTGGCCAGGTGTCTAGAAGAAGCCTTGACTTTGCTCTCGGTTTGCAAATGACTAGAGTCCCCAATGTTTATAGCGGTAAATAGCTCATCTGCGATCATCTTTCTATGCGCTTCGTATTGACCATAGAGGCTACCAATAAGGCTTAGACAGGCACGCTGAAGTTGGACTACCCAGCAGACAGCAAGAAGGCGGGCTTGGTAAGCCTCTACAGGATCACCGTTTTGGGTACAAGATCGCAATTTCTGCTGCAAGGTAGGTTTCCGTTCACCTAAATCGTTGTCCGAATTTGGTATCTCTGAATCTGAGCTCGAGTGGGCAGATAGGTTAGCAGGGATAGTTAAGGTAAAGGAGGTTACGGAAGGGAGACTCTTTGCGCCGTCTCTAGATGCGTAGCTAGAGCATGGTTTCACATGACCTTTTGAACGGGCGCCTAAGTCCGAATCAATGGTAGTGGTAGTCCTACATCGGGAGGTTAGGTATGCCAAAAGACCCGTTGCACCGGCTCGAACATGTGTTTGGTCGGGGTCTGATGTAGAAGAACCCAATGGCTCCGGTGCGATAAGATGAAGTGGCAGAGAGAGACCAAGCTCAGATAGTCGGAAAACTAGGGTGTCAGAGAATTTGCATGGCTGCAAACGTATCAGGCTGGCAAGGCCAGCAACTATCTTGGATACGCGACGTCCAACAGCATAAAGAACGAGTCCACGAAGGCAAATAGATGCCTTGGTGGAGGAAGGCTTCAGGTTGGTCGACCAATCGAATGCCGCAGCTAGGAATAAAAAAAATAAGACAGAAATTTTATCAGCAAAAAGTTTAATTTTAGCATAAATAATATTCAATGGATAAAATAAATCAAAAATACGAAACAAAACAAAGTAAAATCCAAATTTATAGAGAGTAGGTTTTCGAGACTATCAGTTAATCTTGAATAAGAGGTCTGGCTTGGCCTTGGAGAGACCTGTCCTCCTTTAAAATTCACGTCTGTCTTGTGTCCCCTTGGCACGGCTAGCAGTGTGGAGTAGCGGTATAATTGTTGGGGCTACTTTCATTATGTATGATATTGCATGATAAAGAGAATCAAATGCGACTGCTGATTCCCGTTGTACTACAGCTTTTTCGTTTTGATATGGTTATATTACAACGGAAATCAGTAGTAATCTTCTGGCGAGATCGAATTTTGAATATATTTATCATGCATTTCCATACGAAATAAAAGTTTCCCCAACAGCTTTATCTTAGGAGATTCATCAAAAGCCAGTTACTCTTCGTTGTGGAAGAATGTAGAAATTATACACACTCGATTCCAGCTGGATGTGCTGATAAGACCTATACGAGGTTGAAAGTGCAGTCCACTTTGGATGTGAATAGCTTTTGATAAGGCCAAAAAAACTCAATAAAAACTTGAGGCCTAATCACATAATAATGGCAAAAATCAACTAACGGATACGATGGTTTGCGACCCAGTATGGCTAAGTGTTATTTAAAAAACCAGCCTACTTATAGTAGCCATACAAAATAATTTAAACTTTTAAAATAAAACTGTCAGAAGACGTCACCAAGACCACTGGCAGATTCTATTTGAATTACTGTAGTCTGATCAACGTTAGAAGCCCGTACGGACTCGATACTCGAGATAAATTTTAGGTGAAAAAGTAGATATGAAGACCAAGATGGTGTGGCCTCTGGTATGGTCGCAGCAAGACCAAGTTGCAACGAGGTCAACCCACTTCGAAAAAGTGGATACTTTCTTCCTTAAGCTATTCAAGGCTTCATATCACATTCATAATAACAGAGCTGTTATCCCTAGACCAACTTAAAGTTTATAATGAGTTAAGAAAATTCGATGTCTATCAGCCTAAACAACCCGATGTGATCAAATGACAAAAATTTCCACATGGAATATAGTGAATTGTGCTCGTGATACTTCCCAAATCAATCACAAGAGAAGGTAAAATCAGCCCAACAATGTGCTATTAAGAGAGCCATTAAAACTTAAATTATCGCCATACATAAATAAGTATTGTTCATCTTCTTAACCTCATTCATCACAGTCAATATATAACCAAATTAATTCTTTCAAATAGTCTTGAATGTAATGGAAAAGAATCATTCTAGTACATGATATAATCTCTCTTTTGTGGTCTGCAAATCAAACATTGAACTGAACAACATCTAAGTGTATTTTTCAAGATACCCTCTAACAAATATTCCCATCAAAAAATGAGAAACCGCTTGAAAATGATAGATCGTAGCGATCTGACTTGGATAGTAGACCATAGCTCCTTATATAAATATTTTTTAAACAATGAAAAGTATCAATCTCGCTTATACGAAGCTAGAAAAAAACTAATTTCGAAATAATA